CAAATGACAGCAAAAAAAATATAACAGCTGCTAAGAAGTCAAGTTGAGAGATAAAGTTTTCGAGGCTGAGGACCTTCTCAGAAGTAGACTAAAGGTCTTTCTTAAATCTTTAAAGCAAGGTTATGTATCCCAGGGTGGATTTTGGGCACCAAGTCAAAAATGTAACTTTGTGTATCATTCTTGTCATAGTATTTTGTGTTCCAGAATAAAGAAAGAGGACAAACTTGGTGATTAGCATCTGCCGAGAGTAGCTTATAGCTGGAGTCATCAAATGGTATCATTTATTTTTAATTGTGGTTAAAAAAAAACCCACATAATATAAAGTTTACCATCTTAGCCATTTTTAAATGTACAGTTAGGTAGTGTTAAGTACATTCACGTCATTTGCGACCGATCTCCAGGTGTCATTTTAATGCTGGTAAGTGGTCTGGGGGCATACTGACTAGGACTGAGGCTCATGGAGGAAGAATGTGTTGTTAAACCATATTCCAAAGGATGAATTCCTGTCCAAATGAAACTGACCCTTTTAAACGGTCTTATTCCCTTATAGACAAACATATATTAGTTACATAAAAATGTATTTAGAATAGAAATATGACTATTCATTTAGTTAACTCCATTATATATGAAAGAAGTCTTTGGGAAAGTCTGATATTGTTGGGTGGAGAAAGGACTGTCTTTTGGATATCTCACATGAAGTGACTCCTCATATTGAATTGGTAAGATACGTCAGGAAAATAACCTGGGAAATAAGATGAATTAAACTTCTGCTTTCAGCAGAAGGCTGAAGCCAGACAAATATGTGTTTATTATTCAGGGTTTATTATGTCATTTAAAATATATTTAATCGTATATTTAGTATTAAGTACTATTTCATAATATATTTAGTATATTGGATATATTTAAGGTATACATGATGATTTGCTGTGATTACTACAGTCAAGCTAGTTAACATATCATCTCCTCCCATATCTACTAATTTGTGTGTGTGGGTGATGAGAACACCTGCAACCTACTGTCTTAGAGTAACTATAGTCATCATGCCTGTACATTAGATATCTAGATTTGTTCAGCCTATATAACTGCAATTTTCTGCCCTTTCACCAATATCTCTCCTTTCCCCCCACTCCCTATTATGTGATTTTTAAGCAAACAAACTCCCCTTACCTTAAAAAAGAATATTATACGGTTTATTTTCACTTCTAGTACCTGTTCTTTTCTTTCATAACACTCATAATAGTTTGGTACTCAGCGAATTGTCTTTATGCTTAATGTATATTCCCTCTATATTCTCAACTGGTAGCATGGAGAATGACACATGGGTAGGCACTGAAGAGATACTTGTTGCTGGAATACAATAAACACTTGGTATGTGTTACATCATTCACCCAAAATTTACCGAGTGCTTACAGTGTGTCAGGTACTGGGTAAGGCTCTTTCCCAGGATGCACCTTCACAGAGTAATCAGCCAGTTACATTTTTTACATAAAAAGAACTACAGGTTAAGGTCTTAATACCAATTGCATCAGTGTAGACTACATACTTTGTTTAAGTCACATCTCCTAAGCCCTTGTCTTCTGAGCGATACAGCTCACCTTATTTTTAAGTATTTTTAAGTAAGCAATTTCTATACACTTTGAGGTCATCCTAAACTACACAAAGTATTCTATAAGTAGTGAAAAGTGGAATTCTCACTGCTTAGATCTACATACTACCAGTATGTCACAACGCCTCCTTCTGCATGCTTGTTTTGTTGGACCCAAAGAAAAGTACCAGATGACCTCAGGCTTTGGGTCACTTTATCATATGTATTGAGCATTAGCTGAACAATGATTCGATATTTGTACGGAAACTGCTTTGGAAGAAAAAACATAAACTGAGTTTTTCTTTGGTTGCTTAACTCTACTCATGCTCTACAACTGTAAAGGCAATACAAGCGTGAATGAAACCCTTGGAAGAGCTTTAAAGACTAACATGCTCCTTTACAGTTTCCCTCCAAGTTTTGTGTATGTTCTCTAGGCTGAGCAGACAATGTCAGAAACCACAGAAAGAACTTTAATCTGGTTAGAATAGTTGGTGAGAGGGAGAATGCTCTGGTGGTTTAAGGGAATAAAGGAAACCAAATCAAGATAAGAAAACACACTAAACAAGTTATTCGCTAAATTGGTTTACATTCGGCTCACTAATAGATTTTCTTCTAGGCATGTCTGTGAGATGCAAAATTTTTAAAATGTGACTAATATCACTTTACTAGGGTTGATTAAAGAATGCAACTATGCCAAGCACTGGGTAGATTTTCCCTGGTAGACTACAGGAGCATGAACAATTTGGTTCTGTCGATTGCAAGCCAGTAAGACAAATAACTGAATGAATGAATGAATGAATGAATGAATGAATGAATGAATGAATCAGTCAATGAATCAATGAATTAATCAATCAATGGTGAGATCTGCCTTCCTGAGACTGTTTCATTCAAAATCAACCATGTGAGAAGTATTACAAAAATACAGCTACAATTTATAGATGATTCTTTTGTAAAGGTGGGGGAAATAATCTGAAGAGAAAAAGAAAGGAAACAAATCTTTTTATAACACTCTGTGTACTGCATTTGTGAGTTTTGAGGCCATTTCCCTAAGACTGTGGGAGTAAACACACAATTTTCATTAAATGTGCCTTTCCCATAACTGGTCCATAAGCATTTCCCATGACTCTGCCGTTGAGTATCTTGGCTGAAGGAGGATCTGGCCATTAGAAGGAGGGCTCTAGATATGCTGAGTCCCAGCCGTGCTGAGAGACTTGGCACCTTTATATGCTACTTCCTAATACCAACCCCAGCATAAAATGTCATCAGAAGCCTGCATAAACATTGGACTTAGATTCACATAAATTATTTCTGTCCTAAGGTGCTTTCTGCCAGAATTTAGTAAAAACAACACTTTGAGTAAATAGAATTGGCGTATAAATGTAAGAATATTAATCCAACAAAATGCTCATAGAAAAATATAATCAAAAGTACACATTCGTAAATCTTGCAATGATGTGAGAGGTTTATCTTGTGCCTCTGAGTTTTTATTGAATATTTCCATAGAGTTCCTTTAAGCTGACACTGCCAAAGTGCTTTGAATTATCAGTTGCTTTGTGGAATTATAAAGTCTTTGAGTTTCATTAAAATGCTTAGGAGTCATTTTAATAATCATATGTGTGATTAGCGCCTGTTTAGTGCTGGATCCACAAATTCATTTTAAAAGTAAACATTGGGACAATGAAATATAATGCCAGATATGATTGCTGCTGTCAGCAAAAACATTGTCTTATTTTATTAAAAATCGCCAACAAAATGCCGTGAACAGAAGATACAGTTTCTATTTATAGATATTTTCTACTCTACTGTATTATGGTATCTGCACACCACCAGGCTATATCTAGCGGAGTTTTCATTTTGCCTCGGGTGTGTACATAAATAGAGAGGTACAGAGTCTTTTTATTACATGTGAGCACATCTTATTATGTACAGCTCCCCCAAAGTCCTATTCGGATATTTGCTCTAATATAATAGTGCTCACACCGTCGGTGCTGAGTATTTATAAGTGGATGAAGATTTCCTGAAAATAATGATAATTTAGCTATTGGCAATAATAACATTATAACATTCTCAGTGATCCATTTTGGCTTTAAGTACTTATTAAATAATATTTATTCCAAAATTATGAACTTATAAAATTAAACGAGATTGCAACATGCAATAAAAACACATTTCTCTCTAAACTCCAATTGACTCCATTTCTCACAGATACCTCTCCTTGTGTTCATTCTGCTTTTACTGTTTTCTACCCTCTGTGAGTTCTCAGCTCTTCTCTCTGATGTGTTGATATGCTTTCCCCCAAAGCCACTCTCTTTTTCTACTTTCCCTACCCACTCGTCCCCTTCTTGTTATTCTCTCATTCCCTACTGATATGGGAATAATAGGATCCCAAGGCTGTCCTTACAGTATAATTAAAGTATGAATTTCCAGGAGTTGGAAATTGCAGGCCATTTTTATTATGCTTCTATAATAAAGCCAGGTAACACTGAGAGAATTAAAATGGCTTTTTCCTAGTAGATAACTTGGTAAAGATTTTTTTCCCCTTGGTTCTATTGTTTTAAGAGACTGGGAGCTGAAAATGGGAATAGATACACCAATTCTTTTTCTGAAAACACCTCTATCTTTTACATGATATATATCCCCCTAGATCCTGGGAATATGTTGTAAACTTGTAACAGATGGTGATGAAGCTTCACATTTTTATACAATACACTTTTTGAGATTCTGCATCTACTGTATGTATCTTCCAGGGAAAATGACCTTGAATGAATGAAGTCATAGTCTGAGGGAAAAACACCCCACAGATAGACCAGCAAAGAAATGATGAGTCAATGGGTTTTGGTTTGTTCCCCGTGGTAAGATGAAATAATTTCCGATGAAAAACAGAATACTGGAATATAGGAATCAAAGGTCGTCTTGACACTAGAGGTGTATCCGTTAATTGTTCCGGGAGAACCAGTTAGCCATATTCTATATTGAACAGAAACACATGGAAGACGGGATATCACTGTTTGTGAGTAGGAATGCTATTTGCTTCACTTGGGTAATGTTGGGGGCTTACCAAAAATTGTTCTGGCACAACATCTACCAACATGAATGTTAGGAGGGTTCTAACACTGTGAGTGCTGATATTTTATGAATGTTTTATCACTGGCTTGAAAACAAGAGGTTTGCAATTGAATCAACAGCATGTCAGACAGACAAAATATTAAAAAAAAAAAATTAGTGGGAATTACTGATGTCCCTATTGTAAAAACAAACTGAAGTTAATAAGAAACTTGATCCTCTTAACCGATTAACAAAAGTCAAGTTTTAATTGCATGGTTTCCTAGACAAATCAAAGAGTGCTGTTAACTTGAGCATTGGTTGTTTAGAGGGTGCGCTAATGGGGGAAATTGCTGCATATTCAGTTACCCACCTCTTTTTTCGACAGCTTCAATGCATTGCTTTACAAACCGTGGAACTGTGGAATTTTCACGTTCACACACTGTGTGCAGATGAGAGCCAAAAATTTGATCTGCAAAAGAAACAAAGATGAGCTTCATTAAAATCCAAGATTGCGTTGTTCTTTAATTTGATTCTGTTTCCATACCCACTGCGTGCTGAAATCTGTGTCTTGCATAGGAATTGATTTTTTGCTTTAATTCCAAGGGGTCTATTGCAGAGATACAAAGGCCATAAGTCCCTCCTTTATAGAAGAGGACCCTGGGCCCAGAGAAAGAAAGCTAACACTCCGCCATCGATTAGGCTGGGATGACAGGGCATAACTTTGTTGTTTATAAAATAGTGACAAGGAATTAAGAAAACTTCTACAAAGTAATTAATCTTAATGAATTGGTATCTTCAGTGTTTTAGAAGAAATTTGTCAATGATCACCAAAATTATAATTTTATCAGTATATTTAGAAGATTCGTTCAGTGGGTCAATGATCTTTGAAGAGGCAAGTTCCAGATTTACTTTGAAGTGGATTTCTTAACATCTCTCCTGCCTTGAATGCCCTTCCTCGACATCTAAGTGTCCCCTTCCCTTTATAGCTCAGCTCTGACCACACTTTCTCCACAAACTCTTTTCTTCTTATCTCAGTGTTGTGTCTCCTTTAATATCAGTTCTTTGGAATACCAGTTCCTCGGGATGTTAATAGGCAATTTGGGGGGGAAAGGCCTATGATCAAAATGGTTTAGCAATGTTGGGTTAAACAAAGTTAAACAGGTTTCTTTCATGTGTATTCTTACAGCTTGTGACATGCCATTCTGCACTGGGAATCCCCACAAAGGGCTGGAGGATGCACTATTTCCCAAACTTATTTGAGTAAGATCCTTTTATTTCAAACGGCATCCCTCCAGACTAAGGCTTCTGAGAACACACTCTGAAATCCTAGCCTGGTCTTCTCATTGGGAACATGATTTATCCTACCTTGCATTGTGTATTTACATTTATAATAGATGGAATGTATTTTCTCAAAGCAGATTTGGAGTGCCTACAGGCTCTATGTGTTTGTATGGTCACCAGGGCTTAGCACAGACTCTGGCCTACAGGATTTGCTCATAGATATTTTTTATTGCAGTAAAATATACATAACATACAACTTACCATTGTAACCATTTTTACATGGACAGTTGAGTGGCATTAAGCGCATTCTTTTTTTAAAAAAAATTTTTAAAGACTTTATTTATTTATTTGTCAGAGAGAGAGAGAAAGCAAGCACAAGCAGGGGAGAGCGGCAGGCAGAGGGAGAGGGAGAAGCACGCTCGCCGCTGATCAGGGAGCCTGATGCGGGACTCGATCCCAGGACCCTGAGATCATGACCTGAGACGAAGACAGACATTTAACTAACTGAGCCACCCAGGCGCCCCAAGCACATTCTTGTGTAATCTTCACCACCATCCATTTCCCAATTTTTTAAAAACAGCATAGATTTTATTACTGAGAATGAATCAAATATTTAGTAGGTTCAAGGGCTTCCCATCTTGCTCAAAATGAACTCCAGTTCCTTACTGCAACTTCTAAGGTAATACATGACCTGCCCTTTCATCCATTAATTGAGTTCATTTGCTCCCTCTCCCCTCTCTCCCCGTCATCACTTGCCTGCTGGCTGTCCACATTACTGATTCTTGTCTATGCCAAGCCCACTTCTGCCTCAGGGACTTTGCACTTATTATGACCTCTGCATGAAACTCCATTGCATTAGGTCTCTTTTGTAGCCTTTCCTACCCACTTTTTTTTTTTTTCTAAAAAATGGCCGCACTGCAATAGGAACTCTCCATGATACTTTCCTGTTTTACTTTCCTTGGAGCACTTATCTCTGCCTGGCATATTGGATTGATGTGCTTACTGGTTAGTTTTCCCCTGCTTAGAATGCAAAACCAAGGAGAGTAAAGACTATACCTATTTCCTTTCTTACTGGGTCCCTAGTAAGTAGACAATGTTTGGCATATACTAGAAGTTCAATAAACATTTATTAAAGACATTGTCTTAATCATCAGTGGAGGTCTTCAATGATTTTCAAAAAATATTTGTAGTAGAAGTAGGGAGAAAAATAAAATGCAGCATAACAGATTGGTAAGTGAAATATTACAAAGGGGCAGTCAAAATGGAATGTGATGAGACTTGAAGGAAGTCATGATTTTCATCCATTTCTTAGAAAAGTTGATGGCTTGAGTTAAGGACAACCTAGCAGGGAGGAGAGTAATTAAGGCTAAAGCACAAACATATTTCAGTATGAAAATGTACATTTTCATCTAAGAGACAGAAAGATGATAAACCCCAAACATCAACAGAGTGTAGAGAAGTGGGAAATAATCATGTGTATTTGCTTTGAATCCTTGGTCAAGTAACAAAGACTTGTTCAAAAACAGCCACCACTATAAGAAAAAAAAAAATGACATAAACTATTACCTAAGAAAAATAATCCACAACTTCAGTTGGAATAATTTAAATTGGCTAGAGATTATAGTCAGGAAGAAATGCTATAAAGTATAAAAACTTCTAAAGGAAATTATTATTCAAATCAATTTCACAAATATTTATTGAGCATGTGGCAGGACACCAGACCAGTCTTTGGTACCCACAGAAGACTTCCCAGAGAAGAAACAAATCCTCAAGGAAAAGTAAGATCTAAGTGAAGAGGTAAGAGAGGGGACAAAAGGCCATTTAGGGAAGATGGAAGGAAGGTATACAAACACATCAGTGATGGGGAAAAATGGCAGGAAGAATGAGATGTGCTGAGGGATACATTCACTCATTCTTATTTAGAGAAATCTTGATGTATTAAGCTTTAAAAGAAGATGAAGATGTGTTATAAGAGCCTTAAATATTTTAGTCAGGTAGGTTAAATTATTTGAAAGTGTGCAGACACCAATGATTTCTTATACATACACTATTCCCCTCATGACTTCTTGTTTTTAGAGTCCATTCGTAAGATAGAGGCTGAAAATGTTCCCTATTGACTTCTGTCTTCCTTGCAGATCTGAGTAATTAGACCGCTATAATCAGTCAAATGTAAGGAGAAATGACTTGGGAAGCTACAAGAGATTTTTTTTTTTTTTTAACCAGCTAAAAGGAGAGGCATGTATGAGGCACTCTTTCTTTTTTCTTCCTGCTTTGGATATCGTTGTGCAATCATGTGACGCTGGAGCTACTGCAACAATCTTATCACCATGAGACACCAAGCTTGCAGACAAAAGCTAACATGATTAAAAAAGTCACAAAAAACCCCAGACCTCAAAGACATTGTTGAAGTTCTAAACCTAAATCATTTTTTTTTCTAGATTTCTTATTTAGTGAGATAATATAAGTCATTTTTAACTGTGCATTCTATCCCCTACAGCCAAAACATTCATAACCAAATGGAGGCACAGATTGTGAAGAAGACTGAACACAAGGAGATTAGTTAAGAGGCTAATGTGATCACCTAAGAAGGTGTTATGGAGACCAGAGTCAGGATAGAGTTGTGGTAAATTTAATCATTGTTCATGATTCTTCTCATCTTCTCTGAATTAGATCTGTACATTCACCGCTTTTGCCATGTGACTGTGTGGGAAAACTTATTACAGTGGGCAACATTTATTTCTCCCATTTCACTGATATTGGGCTTGGCTGTAGACTTGCTTTGGCCAACGTACTGTGAGTAAAAATGACCATGTGTCAGTTCCAGATGTAGGTCTTAAGATGCACTGTACATTTCTACTCACCTGACTGCTTTTCTGTTATTGCCAAGACAAGAACTTCCCTGGGTAGCTGTTGCCCTTTCAGTCTGGGATCCAGAATAAATACATATGGCAGAGACTGAAGCCAATGCTCAGTTAGGAGACAAGTCTAGTCAGACCTTCTGCTTAAAGTAGAGCTGTCCAGTCAAACCTGCCCCAGGCTACTTGACCCACAGACACATGAGAAGTAAGTGCTTCCTGCTGTATGTCACTGAGATTTTGTGTTTGTTTGTTATGCAGCAATAGCTTACTGATAAAGATGATAACAGGAGTCCAGGTTGTTGGTGACCTAAGCTACGCTATGAGAATGACAACAAAGAGAATTGACAGGACATGGAAACTGAAACTGGGGAGCAAATAAATAGATTAAAACAATTCTAAATTTGCTAGGATTGTGGAATCATACATCAGTTTAGATTCAACCCAAGGAGGAGTCCCAAAGGAAATTTCTCCTCCCTTAAAATGAACTCATTATGCTTTACCTAATATGACGGCACTTTTTACTCTGTATTCTCTCCCTATCAATTCAATTCTATCAAATTCAATTCAGTGCATATTTCGTTAGCACCTGCCATGTGCTGGATATTGTAAAGAATACAAATATTGATTCACTCATTCAGTAGCTATAACATGCCCACTATAAGCCAAACACTGTGCTCTTGCCGGAAAATGCAGTGATGCATGAAGCATGATCTCCTACAGTCTGGGGTGGTGGTGGTGGATAACTCTCACAAGCATTTATAATATAATGTGATTAATGCTATCTCAAGGCTATGTAATAATAGCAGTGAAGCTTCATTGTACCCTTAAACTAAGCCAGGCATGGTTCAAAGTATTTTATGTATTCTAACTTATTAAATCTTTACATGAATCCTCAACCCTTTGGTGGTAGATACTATTAACCTGATTTTATGGGAGAGGAAACAGAGACACCAAAATATTGAATCCTATGTCCAAAGTTACAAAGTATCAGGGTTCAGGGAAAGGAAAAAGGTAAGAACCTGACCTGTGACAACAGAAAGAAGGGGTGATTTTGTAGGATTTGTTAACTGGATACAGAAGGTGAGTCAACCCACCAGAGAGAGGTCTTCCTAGTTCCTTGCTTGAGTAAAAGAGACTGACATGCAGAAGGAACCCTGAAGGTTTGGAGAAGAATAAAGAGATAGGTATTCAAGAATGAGGATAAGCATTTCAGATGCAGAAGAATGATGGTGGGAGATAAAGGTGAAAAGTTCTCATTGAATTTTGACAATTCAGAGGCTATTGGTGACCATGAGGAAAAATGGCGTTAGTAGAAGAATGAAGCTGAAAA